AATGGAACTTGCTCTTCTCAGTGCTTTTTCCAGGAGGTCACCATAACCTTCAGATCTGACTTTCTTATCAAGGGCATCTTCATCCATTATCTAGTGAGCAAAGCAATAAAAGTGTAGTTTGAAGCCATAGTTTGATAATTACAGAGCGTTCAGAAACATGCTGACATACAATAATTAGAACTAACATGAAATTACAAGCATGATGACTAAACAAAAGAATACACTCAGTTACACTTACTTACTATTTTAGGTATTCATTATTAACTTTATTACATTTTAAACACCAAATTAGAAATGTAAAATTTTCTACACGGTTGTAATAAAGCTGTTATCTATCTATCTATCTATCTGATGCTATGAAACAATGAACAGAGGGAGAGTGGACTGTCAAAAACTGACTTACCGCTTTTATAACTCGTTTCCTTAATTCTTCTTCACTCAAGTCATCATCGTCTATATTTGTAGGGCATGCTGTTGCTTCCCCTCGAAGGACAAATAAAGTTGAAAAATAATTTAATTACAACTAAAAGTAACAGAAGAGAAAATATTTTGTTCTGATAATGTCCTATTATCAAGAATTTTATGAAAGAAATGTATGATGTAGTTCATATCAGTAATTATTAATTTAAACATTATATGTCTTTTCCCTGACATACTAGCAAGTATTGCAGTATGGAGATCAAAAGTCAGTTTCAAAACAAAAATTAAAAATATGGCTGGCAATAGCAGAAAAAAATATTTATAGAATGTCATTGTATGCTACTATGGGGCAATTTGTTTGACATGACAAGCATGTTGAATAGCAGAATTGTACTTCTGTAACAACTAAATGAAAATGTAGCTTTCAATTTGAGTGCATGATTATTACCGATAACTATGCAACACAAAGATACACCAATCTGTCTCTATGCCCTAATATGGTCATCAAACAGGCATAGTAAAGCTCACCAATTGGGGTCACCCCATCATTGCTACGTAATCTTCCGAGCCTCTCCTCCACCTCTTGCTCAATTGATTTTTTTCCTTCTGCTAATTTAATTTGACGTTTTGTTTCTTCTATCAGTTTATCAGCTTCTGCTGCTAATCTTTTGGATTTCTCTTCTGGATTTTCTTGACTGTTTTCTGCCTGTGTGGTACGGCCATCTTGATGGATCTGTTCCTGTGGAGCATCGTCTATTGAAGTTTTGTCATCATCTCAAAACATAAATTCAAATAAAATCAGTTAAAAGACATGAATGTCACAGTTCCCGTCATTTAATCATAAAATACTCATGTTAAAATAATACATGAAACATCTGCCAACAGGTGAATTAATATGTACCGGTACTCTATGTGGGTACAACTCATCATAAAGTAATTTCCCTTAATCTGATAACTGAAAACTTTCATTGACCCGGGTCCAAAATCTCATACACAAGTGCAACCAAACTCATACATGCTCAAACAACTACATTCATAAATCTGAGTAAACCTTGATGTACCTTTAATAACAACTTGACTTCTTTGTTAATTTGGGTCTTTGTATATTACCAGGACCTAGGTTTGTTTCAGTAACCACTATAATTCCCATCAAAATGTAGCCCTGACTGCCCTCTACAGTTTCCACTGAGATTCATAATGATATGACCCATTTATCCACTATCGACTGACAACTTAAGCTATATTTAAACCACATGTCAATGTACCTGGCCAAGATTTATAAACAGTAACTGCAAAGTGTTTTCACTGATCTTCAACTTTGTGACCAGTATTTCAGTGATGGCTTTTTATAATGGATTTGCATTTTTTACAGTTAAAG